ATTTGTAAAAGGAGTTTACTGTCATAAAGCCTAGTCATGATAGCTGATGACTATGTCATTCCTAGCAAATACATTGCATCTGCTTATGTATATTTTCTGCCAAGACAGAAAATAGTGACAGCCCTCATGTCACATTGATCAACTGTATGCAATCTGCCCTCACTCTCTCAGCTTTCAGCATTTGCACCAACTCCATTGTTTTTATTCACAACTTATTTTCCAAGGTATTAATTTAGGCTTTTTAAAAAATAGAATGCAGTCTTTGTTATTTTCTTGCAGAACTCATGAAGGTCTGTGAGCTCCTTTTCCTTTGAAAGTGCAAATTCCCAGAACTGAATCTTTTGAACTATTCTGAAATCTGTCAATCTATAATATGAAATCTGATATTGCTAGTACAGTCTAACCAGATTGAAAACCTGAACAATTATGTTACAAAAGTGCCTACCTAGTGGAACACATGATATTTAAACTTGAAATGTAGAATTATCTCTTTTACATAAACATTTGCTTTACTACCGGTTCTCCCCCCAAGTATGAATGGAATTAATCTTATAATATATAATATCCAAGTATAGGTAGTTGGCATTGTTGTGTTTTCGGTTCGCGAGCAATTGACGAAGACGCATGGTGAAAACAATAGCTCTTTATTTCTCTCTCCTACAACCAAGCAAACAGCAAAAGGCGCGCAGGCCTTTTATAGTGCTTGAAACCCGGACAGTGTGAACCAATAGGAATTTAGCCTTTTCGCGCCTTGCGCATGCGCACAAGGCTGGCGCCACTCTGTCTGGTCCCGGGCAGCTTTTGGGATTGCCCGGGACCATTTGCAACAATTCTGAGCCTGCAGTTAGCTCTTGCAGGTTCAGGACACAACAGGCATCTTCACAGATAACTTCATGAGGATATTAAGATTCTTGTTTTATCTCAAAAAAGAAGTGGCAGCACAACATAAGTGGAACATCTGTTACCAATGTCACACAAATCCCCACTTCTCCCTGCATACAAAGGAAACTAGAAGAAAAGAAGTATGTGGAAGCCAAACAGGGGATTTTTGTTTAGCATTTTTCACTCTGTTGTGCAAATTACTTACAATTTAGCTATAGTAAGATAGTGGAACGAGGGAATTTTGCCAACTGCCATGAAAAAAAAATGATGTTAAACAGGGGATCACATCAGGAAAAAAAACTAGGCTAAACTTTTTTTCCTTGGTTCTCTAACTTAATTATATGAGTGGTAGCATTTACAACTTTTTTTTTAAAAAAAAAGTACTTTAAAAGAAGAAATATAAAAAATATTAAGAAATAAGAACATTGGGGAAGGTAAGGTGCAAAGCATTAAAAACATAAAGACATAAAGAATAACTTTCTACATTTTTGTAACATAGTTGCACATTCATGAATTTTATCTTTAAACTGATGTGACCTAGAAACTCAGTCAACACATTTGCTTGGTTTACACAATATCTTTACCTTACCAAATTGCTTGAGTTCACATTGTACTGAGTGATATGATTCCTGACTCTACAGTCTTTGGAGAAATCCCAATCAATCTATACATTTCATTCTTCTTTATATTATGGAAAATATCAAAATGGGAGTGAATTTGTTTGCTTCCAATTCTAGTCCTTGGTTAGAAGGGTTACTTGTTAGAAGACTTACATGACTCGTCTGTCTTTAAATTCAACTGAAAAAATCTTTTTGGGGAAGCTGAAAATCATGCGGATACCCTGCCTCAGTCTTCAATTTCAAATAAATAATAGTATATAATTATAACAAAACATACATTATTATGGCTATCCAGATAAGAGATTCTATAGTCTCCTAGATGTTTTGGTGAAAAGTGATTGGCTATAAAGCAACTAGCTGGAAATAAATTCTAATTAGAATTAAAAAGAAATTCTAATTAACGAAGATTAATTCAAATCCTGGAGAAAGGAAACTCCATAAATTGTGGCTACTAATAGACAGAATTCCAACTTTTGACTAAACTATAAGAATGGTTCCTTGTTAAATTATCCCATTAAATTAGTAGGCATGTAACGTAATGACATATTTTGAATTATTGGATGGAAAAAAACGTGTTAGTTGTTTGAGATTAAAAAGTATATGCATGGCCCCTTCTTTAAAATGACATATTCTGATTGTTGATGGTTATTAATACACTTTCACAAAAATCAGGCACAGAAATGTTGCTAATGTAAAATTTTAGTTCATATGTAGCATTCTTTTGTTTTGTTGCTTTCAGATTAGCTGAAAATAAGTGGATTCCTTGAAATTCCTTCAACATCTATCCTAGTTACTTCACAGTATAACATGCCTGCTGCTTTCTCTCCAACCAGCAGGCAACATTTTCCCCTCCATTCACAGATCTTTGTAGAAACTTTTACTCCAGTAAAATAACCAGTAACCGTATAGATCAGGGGTAGGCAACCTTGGCACTTTTATGACTCGTGGACTTCAACTCCCAGAATTCCTGAGCCAGCCATGCTGGCTCAGGAATTCTGCAAGTTGAAGTCCACGAGTCATAAAAGAGCCAAGGTTGCCTACCCCTGGTATAGATATACAGACACTTTTATCCTATTAGTACACAGGTACAGTGGTAATATTAATATTGTTAAGCTATTGAACTCATTGGCAGTGAATCCCTTGTTCTTGAGCAGCTTGGTCAGTAATATCAGTCACTCTTTCTCACACCCATGGAAAGGCAGTCTCTCTTTCTCACATCCATCCCCTAAACTCAGCTGAAGATGTTACCTAGCCTGGTAACAAAACATTCGGAAACCAACTCACAAGCTTGGGGAACGAAACTTCACCCTCATCCATGGAAAGGTAGTTTATTTTAAACCCATGGGCCTGGCCTCACTCTTAGCTCCTTGATTTCTTCTGAGCCTCCTCTTTGTTGGGTGATCCAAATCCAGTTTCTTCTTCCTTTTCCTCTTTGGCTTTGTAAATACAGCCAACTCCCAGCCAACACACACCAGGTGTGATATTGAAACTTACCACTGGCTGAGACTGACAATTGAACCAAATCCCATGATACCATCAGTAGGTCTCCTCACCTTGTAACCACTGAGTTGTTGCTCCTGTTTCCCCTTTTAGGTCTAACTTGTGAGCAGTGTTAGTCTTTCTAACTCCCTTAACTTGCAGTTTCAGTCTCTTTGTCCCTTTCTCTCAATAATTTTTTCTGCCTCTCTAACTGTCTGGTTCCTATCTCTTTATCCCATTAAGCTGCTTCTTTACTATAGGCAAATCATGCCCCCCCCTTTTCCCTTCCTTTCCTTACCCATGGCTTCCAGGTTAACCTTCTTCTGTTTTTTTCTGCTTTCTCCCCCAGGCAATCATTTATGTCCCAGAAAATGCCTTACACCCTTAACTCTGCAACAGGGACGTTCTTGGGGTAAGGGTAAAAAAAATAAATCAAAATGGCAATTATAATTATCTGCTGAAAACCACAATCCTTTTTAATGAGCATCACGCATATGGGACACCCAATCAAAGCTTGCAACTGCCATCTTTTTTTAACACAGCACATACTCCATGTACAGTCTTTTTGTACCCTTTCCAAAATCCAGATTTTTTTTTCTCAATTTTTCAGGAAAAGAATTCTCCTTTCCAGAGGGACTCAGTTCTGAATTACTTGCAGACTTCATGCTGTCTACTAAAAAGCCCTGAAGCTTTTCTCACAAATTCTTTACATTTATTTATGTCTATTCTATTCTCTCCACTGATTCCTTCCAATTACATGTCCCTGAGCAATTAGTTTTTAACATCCAGCCTTTTTGTCTAGCTTTGCAAATCATTACCACTTTCTACCAAATCCATTTATTTCCCAATTCTACTGCATCTCTCTGAGTTACAATTTAATACTGAGAATATACCCTATTAGGGATAAATGGGGATAGAGACATCTTGGCTGGGCTTCTTTTCCTCTGGGATCAGTTTGAACCATTGTTATGAAATATAGCCCATAGCAAGTGAAAGATGCTATTTTGTCTCCTGAATTGTATTATTGCTTACATGACTTCATAAATTGGCTCTGGTTCCAACAATTTCATTCATTCATTCATTCATTCATTCATTCATTCATTCATTCATTCATTCATTCATTCATTCATGTTGTATGATGGCCATTTTGCAGAGGTAACTCTAGCGAGCAGAGACTTATTTGGAGTCTCATTGAGGTAACTGTACCTCAATGCTCACTTTTTTTGCGTTAAATCAAACTTATTTTATGAATGCAACATTTCTTGCATTGTCAAGAAAGATCTCAGCATTCTGTCCACTGATAGAAATCACTTTACTGCGTATCAGAATCTAATGAAAGAACAAACCTTCTCCAACTAATGTTGGAGATAACATGCAACCATAGCTTCCCAAATAAGTGGCCATGAATGTGTCTTAGAACAGCACCTTTCAGGATTCACACAGTTATTCAAAAGAATGGTCTGAATTTCCCATTTCTTCCCAAAGTTTAAATAAGGCAAATTATTTTGGTGAAAATATTATCTTTATGCCGGTGTAATGGCAAGGAATTCCAAGGTGGAATGGGCACATTTTTAAAAGTCTGTACCTCTGATCTGCAAAGCACATTTTTTGGGATGCAAGCCTCTGCAAAAGCCAGGATAGGAAAGAAAGACTTTGCTGGAACAGAACAAAAACTACATCTAGTAACCAACCACATCTCAGCAAGGAGGCTAGAAGTGAGATATAGCATCCTAGCACTCCTTCCTGTTTAAGATGCTGACATTGGAAATGAACATCTGGTCCTGTGCATAATGTATAACCCTCATAATTACTAATTATTCATAGTTATGTCCTGACATATTTATGAACATTCTGCCTTTTAGGTTAGGCAGCATTTCTACACACATACAACTCAAGTTGCACTCAGTTCCAGGAAATACATTCACAATATATTTTCAAAGTTCTAAAACAAGCAGAACACTTTTTGCATTTAAAAAGAATTTATTAATAATTCTTGACAGTAGGATATGGATACCAAACTCAGACATAGGGTCTTTTCCTCTCTGGATTCTGAACAACAGAAAGAGCAATGGATCCTTCATCTCTCTTCCAGTGAAACCTTTAAAAAAACGTACCAAACAAAAAGTAAAGATTGATGCATGGCATCTGCTGTCAGAATTTTAATTATAAGCCATAGCATAGTACCTTTTCCAAGAACCTAGCTCCCTCCTAGCTTCTAGCTGGGAATTCTGAGAATCACAATATAGATGGTGATTGGATGTACATGGGAAGGTTGTTCTAACAAGTGTAAAATCTGAATCTCCTAAAATACTGATGCACCTAACCCATTAAAAATCATCCCGTGTAATTTTTTTCAGTACAACTCCAAGAATTATTATCAGTTAATAAGGTTAGTATTATTTTGAGGATGCTACAAATTTTATAGTGTAGCTCCAATCTGCTCCTCCTCCTCCTCCTCCAAATTTAATTACAAGTAATTGAAGCAATAAAACCAAATAATTTGGGTGCTCTGGGAAAATATCATTACTTTAATTACAAGAAAGTTTCCAAAAGATATGGAAACATTGTATTGAAATAATTAGAGTAAATTGCCATACCAAAGATGAATGGATCCCACCAGGAAGCTTGGCTGAATTAAATATTTAGCTAGATTTAGATTTAAGTTAACTTGGTTTAGCTTAACTGTGATCTCAATGTTCATTTTCTATCCCTGCAATTGCTTCTACCAACATCAAGACATATTCAGTGGACTATATATATGCATCTTGGGTTAGTTTCAAGAGCCTAAAACAAGGAATAGAGCCAGGAGGAGGCATGTCAAGAATCAGATTCTGTGCTATCAAGCCTTATCTAAATACTTATTCAGCTTCAGGGGGAAAAAATAACCAATTTATTCCAATAGATTTTGCTAAACTAACTTCTGGAAACTTTTGCCTTTGGTCATGCTAAATGGTTAGGCTATGAATTGTAGATCATCTATATGCAAAAAGCCGCAAATTCTGCAATCCTGCAAAGAAATTATGTAGACCAGATCAAGCATTAGAGACTAGCAACCTTGGCATTTACTGGGGCCCAAGACCTTTAAGTCCTTTTTGCTTATTACCAGAATTATCTCCCCCCCCCTTTCTAAATCATTGAATTGGGCATTGGTGAGTTGTGCTGCCAAATCTAGCACATAAGTGAATGTCTTAAGGAACTCTTTGGAGCATTGTTCCATAGTAACGCTTTATTGGGAGATTAAAGTATTGTGAGTAGTTAAACTGGCAAAGCAACAGCAGAAGCAGTAATGCCTGTTGGTGAGTCCAGGCTTCAGGGAGCTACTAGTACAACAAGTTAAGGGAAGGAAAGCAGATGAAATAAAAGGAGCTTGTCTTTGCCTTCACATTGATCAGGTATGGGTCATGCTTTACTTAGCATAGAGGTACAGTAGCCTTGCTTGTGCTGGGACAGAGCATTGCTTCAGCACATTACTTTGCTGAAGGTCTCAGCTAGGAAGATTGTTGAAATTCCTGCTGCTATACTGGATAGAGTGATAATCTACAGAACTTTACATATTAGAAACATGCAAGTCCGCACCTGAAGACTCTGTTCATTTTAATCTTACATAAATAGAAAATGGAAAAGGACAAAGATGCAGGCATTGATGAGAGTATAAAAGTGCATTAGTCAAATGTGGGAAACAGTGGATAGATGATAATATTTTACTTACTTAGTTTGCACTGGCACAAGAAGGCTGTCTCCGGCCCTTAAAGTCAGGATTTCTCTATCAATAGTAACAAAAGATGCACCTTCCTAAAATGGTGAAATGGGGAAAAGGGGCAGACTTTTAATTCTTTCTGGATTTAAAATGGAGAGGGAGATGTAATTTAAAATGTAAATTTAAAAATTCACCAGTATATCTGCATAAACAAATCTTGCCTGTCTCTTATTCATCTTTGCTCCACTTCATCAATGACAGTAGGCTAATTGTAGATACACAATTAAGCTGGTTGCTTTGGCAACATTGACACATTCTCACTTCTTTCCCAATGTCTACTGCTTACAATAATGTGGATAAAAAGTTGGGGGGAAATGCTAGTAAATTTGTTAGTATATTTTTGTCAGTCATCTATAACGTTAAATACCTCCCCTCCCCTTTAGGATGCTCTTATAATTTTAAATTTTGGGGAAAAAAACCACATTCAAAAGATTAAGTACAACCTCCCCAGTTCCATAATAAAACTAGCAAAAAAGATAGGCCTATTAATCTGAAGAAAAACGAGCAGAAATAATCAAGCCGGTTGATTCACTAAACTAGGTTTGCAGTACACAGATTGGTTGGTCTGCCTGAAAATAGAAGGGATTACTCCCTTCTCCCAATTTCTTTTTCTACATGTCTCATCTGATATTTGAAAAGCTTTTCAAAACTAAAAGACTAGTTCTCTAAACCCACAGAGATGGTGCAGTCATTACTAAGAGGGAACCATTAATGTGGGAAAAGGCCATCTCTGTCTCATCAGAGAGATGTCATGTCAAGCTAATTCACTTCTGCAAGAACTAAAAGAAGTCTGGCCTGAAGATGGCTGTACCTGATAGGAAGGAGGATCATCATCAGTAGATGCTCAGGTCCCTGCCAAGCAGTCAGAAAGACATTCTTTGGCTAACTCCCTACTTTTTGCAGGGTAATTGCATTTCTTCAAAAGGAGAGAACTGATTGCATACTCAGTGCAGTCAGCCTTTAGGCTTCCTATTTTTTCCTATTTTGATTTCTCAAAGAGTCTTTTAGCCACTTGTAAGTTTCTGGTTCAGATTCCAAAGTGATCATCAAGCAGGGGAACTCAAGTACTTTAGATTAGAAGACTGCTAATGTCTATTCATGGATGAATTTAGTTTCTGCAGTAATTTTTCTAGAAAGCTCCTCCATTTGCATTATTTTGCCAGGTTTTCTAGCTTCTGCCTCTGTTCATTCATTTATTGTTATTATTACTGTTACTATTTATAGAGAAGTTTTTCTTTAGGGAAACAAGAGTGACTTTTCTGGGTTTAAGGGTCTCATTCAAAATTAGGGTATGTGGAAGGAGTATGCCTATGTACTTACCCACAGGTAGACAAATCAAGCAAGTATACCTATACTTTATTGCACATCAGGATGCAAAACGTTACTGGGAGAAGGAAAGGAGAGGAATAAGTTTTGCTCTCTGAGTGGTAAAACTCAAACAGTGGCCAAGGGCTGCAAGTGAGTAACAACCCAGGGGCTCCCACTTTTTGTGGGGAAAAAAAAGCTATTTTAATTCTTTACAACACAACAGAATTTGGAAAGAAATTATGTAAATATGCTCAGAATTCTTCCATCTGCTGCTCCATTTGTTAACGGGATAACTCTCTGGAAGCAGAACAGAATAGGATGAAATCTAGTGTGGCAAGAGAATCCAACTATAGGATATTCACATTTAAAAAAATAGGCCACGTCTGGCCAGGGAATGTGGGGGAAAATCTGGAAAAAAAATCTCCCCAGTGTCCCCATTATGGCCAGAATGCTGCCCTTAAGCCTCTGCTTCCTTCAGATCACATAACCTAAAATAGAGCTACTATTAAGGGGTTGGAATAAATTCTAGAAGCCACACTCTGTATGCATGCTTATGTTACTCTCCACCTCCAGTGGAAGATTGGAAAGACATGATATATAAGATAGGACTAGAAAGTTATTTAAACCTGGAACTGAACTAGATGAAATTTGATGGAGTGGGGAAAGCTGAGTTCAAAACAATCCTAAAAAACATTCCCCAATAGATCATTATCAAGGATGCAATAGGGCAGAAGTTGGGAATGTGGCTGACGGCTCCTGTCTAATGTTGCCCCTCTCTCTTCCTTCTTAGATGTGTGACCAAGAATGGACAAAAACTATGAAAGTCAGGCCACAGAAGAAGGGTAGCAATGAGTAAAATGTGCAACAAATTTCATGTCAGTCCAGTTTTCTGCTTACTCAACAATGAGTGGATACAGAAAACTCTTTTTTTAAATTGAGGAAACATCCTTAGTTTCTAGTTAATTCTCAGGAATGTTTTAAACATTTTTTTAAAGAGGAAAGTAAACTTTGCAGCAGTAAATAGATTACTGACCAAGGGATCAGATCCTAATGATAAAACAAAAGCCATAATATAATTAAAGGGAAAATGAATATAGGGGTTTATCTAGGATATATGGATTGCTCAGGTGGAAGGGCCATTATGAAGAGGGATTTTTTTTTCTAGTGATCCTCCATTACTTTGTAATGTAAATGAAAGATCAATAATAACAACGTATGTGTTGGTTCTGGAGGTCTGTTTGGTTTTTTTATACAACACTGTACATAACAAGTAAAAAATAAAACATATGTGATATACCATCTGCCATATCCACATATCTGCATTCTTTCCTCCCTCTTCAGTTATTCCTGGTCCAAATAGTATAACCTAAAAGACAACCAAGAAAATATAGTGAGGAAGCACATCGCACGTGTTCATTATATGCCTGAAATATATAATATTTCTTAGAAATAAGAAACTGTTTCATCGTATAGCAGAAAGTAAAAAGAAATATACCATATACCCTTGTAACACACCTCTCTTGGTTCAGTTAATGCACAGTTTAACTAGCAGCCTCATCAGAGATTATTCAATCTAGACTATTCTTGAGTTATGAACTCAACCTATTATATCCAAAATGTCCTCCTTTCAAAGATTCAAAGGATTAACTTTTGCAGCATTTGTTTTTGCAATAATGGTTTTCACACCATTTCACTTCCCAGTAACTATGCTTACTGTGAGGAGTTTTATCACTCCCAGTGTGCCTGGAGGCTGAAAATAGCACCCAGTCCATGGCACAAGACCTGGTTTCATGCAAAATATTTCCAAGTGACCTTCACAGCTTTATTAGCTAAGAAAGTTTGTTCAGAATAGAAGATCCTGATTTAGACAGTTTTAAGTTTGGGAATTCCCAAATATGGCTTCATATTTGTTTAAAGGTGAATGGACATCACTCCCCCTTCAAGAGGTTGATGTAATCATTGGATATTTTCCATTGTTTCATTTTTTAAATTCTTTTGCTGCAACAAGGAGGTTTTCAGCACAGGTGGGCCTGGCACAATGGAAAATTTCCAGGAACATCATTGGAAGACTAACAAAGAACATACCGTAACTTGCCTCTTTGGTGGATCTGAAGTCACATCTGGTACTGTTTTAGTACAAATACAAAATAATATGAAAATGTACCAAATACAGCATTAGGAGTTGGAGATCTAAAACATGCAACAACTCCATTGTAATTATATCTTTCCTTAAGAGAGATTATGTTTCAATTCTTTGAAACTAAAATTATTTTATATATAGATTTTTTTCAAACCAAAACTGTGGCCAGATAATAGATCTATGGATTTTATTTTGACTTTACTCCAATGGTTGTAAAACTCCTTCCTCCTAGTTTTTAGAAAATCTTGAAATAAAACTTTATTTTACTGACCTTTCAACCCCTAGCTAAGGTATTAGCATCCCACATGGGAAAGGGTTGATTTACTATTTGATTTATTACTACTGATGTCTTGTAATATTATAATAATAATAATAATAATAATAATAATAATAATAATAATAATAATAATAATAATAATAATAATAATAATAATAATAATAATAATAATAATAATAATAATAAAGTTTTATAACTATTGTTGCTTTTAAAATGTGAATATTTTGCTCACAATCTTTTCATCTGAACAGGCTATAAAAACTATTGAATGAATGTTCAGGAAATGTATTTACAAAAATTATATAGGAAAAGCAAGTACAATAATACAAAAAACATTTGGGGTGTAGTATCATCCAGACTAGAAAGTCAGTTTTGTGTAAGGATTAAGGCATTAGGCTAGATACTAGGAGACCATGAATTCTAATCCCATGTTAGGTTCAAAGTTGGTTGGATGACCTTGGGCCAGTCACTTTCTCTCAGCCCTAGAAAATAGGCAATGACAAACCAGTCCTGAAAAGTCTTACCAAGAAAACTAAAGGGACTTGTCCAGACAGCCCCTGAGAATTGCACACAATTTAATGGAAGGGGGGGGGGAATCACCCATAATACTGATGATATTCAACTTTATATTGCCACCTTGGGCTTTTGGGAGATGCAACTGATGTTTTATCCAGTGCCTTGAGGCTCTCAGGATCTGGATGAGGCAGAACAGACTGAGGCTGAATCCTTTCAAATTGAAATAGTGTTGTTTCTGGGCTGGCAAATGCTACTCTAAAAGAGCAAGTTTAGAGTCTGGGCATCTTTCTTACTACATAGCTCCTGTTGGCACAGAAGGTAGAAGCTGTGGTTAGAGAGACCTTTGCCCAGCTTTGGTTAATACAGTACATAGTTTGCAACTTTACCAAATACAAGAGCATTTCATTACAGCAACACATTACAACCTATTTAGATTACTACAATCTGCTTTTCCTTGGGCTACCTTTAAAGAACACTCAGAAGCAGAACTGAGTTCAAATGCAGTAGCCAATGTGCTAACTGCACTAATTCCTGGGGGGGGGACCCCCCAGTGATTTCTGATTGTTTTCAGTGCAGTAGAATATTTTTTTTCTTCGAGACTGTTTTTGTTATTGGGATTAGGGAATTAGGAATCAACAGTAAATAGATTTACCCATTTCTATCTTTATATAGGTGTAATGGTATGTGAGAATGACTTTGGAAAACCAGGCAAAGAGATGCTGCCTGGGGGACAGCAGATAAGAGTCAGCATAGCCCACAACTGCAAAGTGGATAAAGCAAAAGGTTCAGGCGGGACATTCCCTAAATGATCAGGCTGTAAAGGTGATGGTGACTTGCAAGATTCTGTTAATGTAGCTTTACAATAGAGTCATGTTTCCTGTCTGGTCTACCTAATAATAGGGTAATGGAAGAGGAGGGTCAGTAGATGAGTCTGCAGATTAGATTGCACATAAGGGTTACTATTTATAGTTTAATTAGGCATAAAGAGACATAATGTCAAGTGTCATGGGAAGATAAATTTTTCTTCTGGGAAATAAATTTTTACCATGAGTATCAAAATCTACAGGTAATATCTACCTGTAAAATTGTAGATATTATGCACCTAGGCATACGTGTGTGTGTGTGTGTGTGTGAGAGAGAGAGAGAGAGAGAGAGAGAGAGAGAGAGAGAGAGAGAGAGAGAGAGAGAGAGAGAGAGAGAGAGAGAGAGAGAGAGAGAGAGAGAGAGAGAAGCAAAGCAAAATGTCTTGGTCAAAATAAATCTTCCAACAGGATATAATTTCTTCACTTATAAGAGAATCTTATTTGATCCTTCTAGTTCAGAATTTAAAAAAATGATTTTTTAACCTCTGTTTCAAAGTTGTCTCCAAAAAGACTCAAGGATTGCTTCAGAGCTATATTTTCTTGGTAATCATTCAGCCAATCTTGCAAAGAAAAAGGATTCATGACTGTGACATCATTTAGTGGGAAAGGAATTGCTCTTAAGATTTCATCTACAAACAAATCAAAAACAAAGACAGAAGAGAACAAAGTTATTGAAAAAACAGTGTTCTATATTGCAGTTTTTATTTTATATGATTCAAACAAATTAAGAGAAAATTGTAACACTGAAAGTAGTACCAATAAAAGAGAATATTTGTAGCTCAGGGTTGAAATGAGGGGTCCTTGGTGCTCTCTGAGTTGGGTTGTTTTCTTGCAGATGTTTCATTACCCAAACTAGGTAACATTATCCGTGCTAGACTAGAACCCAGCTCAGAGAGCACCAAGGACCCCTCATTGAAAGTAGTTTGATAGTATCTAGTATGAGAGGTGGTGGGTTTCCCTTCACTGCATATATATTCAGATGAACAACTATCAGTCACAAATGCCTAATTCTGAATATCCAACAAAGCAGGGGGTTGAATATACAACAGAGTAGAATTGTTTAGTGTCTTTCAAGAATGTAAGAAATATCTATACGTTATGGAGAAGCTGATTTCAACTTCAACTTGACATCAGAAATAATTTCCTAACAATAAGAGCTGTTCAGCAATGAAGCAAATTGCCTTTGGTGGGCCCTTCCTCTCTCTAGTATTTAAACAGAGACTGAGTAGCCCTTTTGGGGGGATGGTATAATAGTGGGTTCCAGCATAGGACAGGGAGTTGGTTTAGATCAGGGCTTTTCAACCGGTGGTATGCGTACCACTGGTGGTACTTTAGCTCCTGGCAGGTGGCATGTGACCCCTGGCCAAGTGTAGCAGGGAACCAGCTAAAGTGGTGCCGCACAGACCTGGAGGAGATCTGTTGGAGCTGCAGGGCTTGGCAGAAGCCCAGGATCAGTGCGTGGTTACATGCTGATTGGAGCTTCTGGCTCACCCAGAAGAGAAAAGTGGGAGGGGGACGGAGAGAGGAGAAGTTATAAAAGGAGCAGATTTTGGTGGGAAGATGCTTTTTGTTAGTGAAGCAGTGAGGAGAGAGCGAGCAAGCAGCCTTGGAAAATACGTGGCAGTGAGCGAGCGAGTGAATGGCCTTTGGAAGAGACAGGGTGGTGAGGGAGAGAGTGAGTGGCCTTGGAAGAGATGGGGCAGTGAGCGAGCAGATGAACAGTCTTTGGAAGAAACAGGGCAGGCCTGGTCACAATGGGCCTGCCAGCATGGCAGTGGGCAGGAGCGCCGGGTGAGCTGCACTTTGCAGGAAGAAGCAGGTGGATCTATGCTGGCAGGCCTGTCAGCATCAGGAAGGCTCCGAAGGAGGTAGCTGCAGGGGGGAAGGAAGCAGGAGGCTTTCCAGCAGGTGCCGTCATACCTGCAAACACGGCGCTGCCTCTCCGGTTTCCAACCCCAAAATTCCAGAGTAAAGTTGGGTAGCCTTTAAGCACCCCTGACAAGCTGCAAATCTGCTGTAGTCTCGGCTGCTGCCCCCTTCCTTGGCTGGGCAAGACTGGAGTGCACGACCTTTAGTCGGGGATGGTGGCAGGCGGGAGCGCCAGGTGAGTGCCGCTTTGCAGGACAAAGCAGATGGAAGTACTTGCAAGTCCTGCCCCAGCTATGGTGAGAAGCAGCGACTGTGTCTGTGCCCTGGGGCCGAGGAGAAGGAACCAGAGGGGCACGGTGGTGACTGCCTTTTGGCCCACTGGATTCAGGGTTATCCTTTTATTGGGGGTGCATGGCATGATCCTGGCCAAAATGCAAATCCCTCTCTAAGCAGGGATTGGGAGGCTGAAGGCCTCTATCTTTGTAGCCATGCAGTTCTAAAATCGATGGGCTGCTTCTGGGGAAGAGAATCAAAATAGGGCAAAACAAGCGCAGTCCACCATGGTTTATTGATTGCAAAGTTTTTCTCGGGTTTTCCTATCCCTTCCTGGGCTATTAAAATCACATTGGCAAGGTCTATACCGAACACCTGGCTGCAAACTAGTCAACTGGATTTTAGCCTAGCCCCTTGTGCAATCCCAGGCCACATTCTGGAGGTAAGAGGATGTAGTAACAGGAGAGAGCTGCAAAATTGATTCGTTATTTATTCTTGCCTTTAGCAGCAATAACTACGTTCTTTGATGACTTTGCTAGCAACCTGCAAGCTGTGAACTTTCCTTTTCCCCTTGGAAAAAGAATTCAGAAGTGCTAGATTCATTTTTCCTGCTAACTACAGTATACCTTGTTAGTTTTTTAAGGAGCTTATGAAAAAAAGATGTGTCTGAAAATTAAAGGATGTATGGATTGAGTTGTGAGACAGGAAAGGGAAGTAGGTACATAGACTTATGCACTTCCAGTTGCTGACAGGTGTGCCACTAATATTCTGACTTGACACCTGTATGCTCTCAGGGCCCAAAGATTATCTTCATTCTTCATAGGGCGGTATTGTGGATTAACTAAATTTTTCTTGGTTCTGATTTTAAGGTGAGTATCCTGAGCTACGGAGGTCTTTGATCTTTTTCTTAAATGCATAATAATAAAATAATGAGAACAAAAGTCTCAAAGGGAAGGCAGATTAGAAAGAACAAGACCTTTTGGGGTCTTCAATTCCCTTCCTGTTAAGAGTTCCTTAATAAGGTTTGCTCTTCCTTCCTAACATCAATTAAGGTGGTTTTTCCAGAAAATATGTGAAGAGCTGTAATTAGTGATTTAAATATTTTTCCTTTCTGGCTGTGTTTTAATTTATATATAATGTATGTTTAATCAAGGAGGGCTTGGAGAGGTAGAAGTGGCCAATATGGAGGCTGCACCTTGCCCTCCAGATCTGTCTCCCCTGCAGATCTCTCGAGAGGAGGAGGGGGTGGCAGAGGAGCTGTGTGAGGGTAGGCTGCCCCAACAAGCCAGCATCCTTACCACACAGAATTGAAAATGAGAATTCCCTTTTGAGAAGGGCCAGCCTCCTTTGCAGGACCCAGGAGCACTGGTCCCCTGCTGCCTCCTCTTGCTCTCCAGAGATCTGTCAAGACAGAAGTTGGACTCAGAGGAAACTGCTTCCTGAAAACGCCCTCCACCTCCTGCTTTGCTAGGAGGGGGCACCAGACAGGGAACACCAACGATATCTGAAATTGGGAAAAGAACATCTCTTTAGCATGCTATCTACAGACACACACACACACACACACACACACAAACATTCCAAGCTTGGAGACTTGTATCCACATCTGAGCTAGCAAATTTCCAATCATGCCTGGGCTTGGGGAGAAGGCCATCTTGTTCTTCTGTGGATAAAAGTCCCCAAACCTGGAATGCAGTGTGTGTGCTTGTGTGTGTGTGCGCGCGCATGCGCTTGGCAGCTAGAAGTTTGAGGAGGCGAGGAATTTGTGGGGCACTGAGTTGTCCCCACATTGAGTTAGCCAGTGCGACTTGTTCCGTTCCAGCCCAGCTGTCTCAAGTCAGCTGTGTCCACTGAGTGGCGTCGAGCAGGCCACGCCCACCTAGTGGTACTCAAATATTGTTATATCCTAAAAGTGGTACAATCTCTGAAAAGGTTGAAAAGCCCTGGTCTAGACAATCTCCAAATTTTCCAGCTCTTACATTCCATGATTTTTCCAGGTATGTGATTCTTTTATTATATAGCACAGCTCTGGGAAACAAAATGGGTTGAAAAAAATTAAATATTATTTTCCAAGACTTGTTGCTCTAAATACTGCTCTACGCAAACTGGTTTTCTTTTATGGCTGAAATGCAATTAAAAAACAACAATAGATGATTCAATGTAATTTGTTGTTTATGCTTAATGTTAAACATAGTGAGTCTTATGTTCATAAGGATATAGAAGAGATATGTAAGAGAGTAAAAGAATGTTGTGACTCTAGGGCTTTACTTCAATTGATACATTCTTAATAAGCTAAATATCTCTCTCTAAGGAGATCATTGGACAAAGTGCAATGCTGAAAACCTCCTCAGAGTGTGACAAGACCGCCATCCCCAAATATCTACAAATACAACCTGGAAGGAACCAGGCACAAGTGGCCATGGGGGAAAAGTGGAGGGGTATGAAGGTAATGGCTACTCTATAGTAGTAGCCTTCCTACTTTAATTGGAGAATGTCTCTTAGTGATTTCAGAACTAAATTTTTGTCAGCCTATTTCAAATCACTCAGAAGTCAATCAGAAATTCTTAACTTATCCTCTGTCCACCCATGACCCAAGCTACTCCATGCTCAATGTAGGAAACCAGCCTTATAGATTCTCAAAAATGGCTATCCAAAGAGGACCTTATAGGTCTTTAGGGACCTAAAGGGGAGAGAATCCACTATTCTTTTAAACTGATGTTAAATAAATTGATTGAAAGGGGAAGGTACAGCAAGAGAGTAAAAATAAAGCCCATCCTCTCTGGTGATGGATAGAGAAATCAAAGTAGATTTTTTGCAGGAATGGTATAATCACTGTTTTTGCAAATGTGTAGAGCGTGGAGGATTCCCCTGTTGTTTGGGACTCATACATAATGATGACTGTGGCTTGGGACAACTGGAGACCTCAATCTGCCTGCTGAGTTTAGCTTGGAAAATAATTATTCTCCCTTTCTCTGGCACATATTTGATTATTGAATAGAGAAAAAAGGCAACTTTGCCCATGCAATATTAATTTCAATTAGAGGAATATTAAAAGAAAGTAAATGATAGGAATGCAGGAAAAATAAAATTAGTTAAGCTTTAAAATTATTATCGTTTGCTGCATGAAAAATTATTTTAGTTCCAAAGTCATTTTACATCACCTGGATTAGGCTTTCCGGTTTGATGCTGCATTGAACTGAAAAATCTGAAATAAAAAAGGTTAAGAATTCTAAAATCCATCTTCTCTCACTTCAGACTGTATAGAGGGAAACAATTGAACTAACAGTGGACTCTCTTTGATTGATGAAATTATTACAGGATATACTTATTTATATTCAAGCTTGAAGGAAGTTTGTTATACTCATTTCCAAGATGCTTCATATTAATATTTCTCTGCATTCTTTCCAATTTCCCCAATAAGTCAATTTTTGTATCCAATGAGCATGCTCAGTCCTCTACAGGGTACTTTGGTATT